TTATATATTCATTTCAAAGCTCTTTTTTATTTAATCCAAAATGAATTTGAAAAGATAATTGTAGTGAGTTTGCTTTTGAATAAATATTTCTAATTTATTCGTTTACAATTTTATTTGTTTTAAAATTTTGTTAGTTTGATTTGATATAACACTGATTTCGTTGTTGTCTTGAGTGACAACTGTGAAAAAAATGCAGGTGCTCAGGCATGAAAATGTGCTGCTCAAACACTATACTTTTCCGCCCACACTGAAAAAAAAATTAGAGGGAACATTGGCGATGCATTGCCCTATCAACTCCAGAGCACATGCGCACACTGGCCAGCTCACTTCAGCCTTCATTTTAACCCATTTTTCACCCTCTGGAGACTTCCCCAAAGCCTCCGGGGGCGAAAAATAACCCAAAGCGCAAACCGGAAGTTTGGGAACAGATTTCCGGTTTGCGCATTGGTCTGTTTTTCACCCTCCGAAGACTTCAGGAAAACATCTGGAGGCTGGGCAGGGTGAAAAACTGGTCCATCGCGTGCAAAAAGCGGGGGAGGGTGGGGGGGGTCGCGTGCACATGCACGGTGTTTGTGTGTGTCACACATGTAGAATGTGGGCACGCCCGCGTACGACTCCACTGCGCTCCCCCCGCTTTTGGCACGCGATGGCAAAAAGGTTAGCCATCGCTTTTCTATTCTATTATTCTATTACACAGCACTGTAGAATGCTCCACGCTCCATTATGGTCATATGTCGAGGACTATGTCTAATGTGCTGGACTAAAAGAGCTACCCCTCCTAATTGACAACCAGGATCAAAAAAAGAGATGTTCTTCTCAGTCCCTTCTAATGAGACATGCCAGAAAAGGAACCTGGGGTGTTAATTTCCAGTCCCACCAAGCTATAATGAGTCCTCCAGATTCTCCCCCTATCCCCAGTCCCAGTTCATTTCTTCCTCCACATTCACTTCCCAGGTCATCACCTTTACATAACTGATGTTGCAAACTCAGGAGGGAGCCTCTTTCCAAGGTACAGGTTTCCACATCTTGATGTAGTAAGGCCTCTAGAAGAAGGGCGTGTGTGTAGGCTTTAATCACATCAACACTGTCTGCTTGCCGATGGAGTATGATAGAGATTACCCCTACAGAGGAGGACAGAGGTCAATATATAGACAGGGTCCAATATATAAATTTCCCCCTCCACATCCACAGCAACTAATCATAATGCAGATTGCCTCACACAGGAGCCATCAATCTTCAACCAAACATTCACAGCTGTGTGTTCCGGCTCATTGCACAACCCTACTGCTCCAGCTATTAAATTTAAATATCGTAACAAAGGTAAATTCAACGGTTTCCACTCAATGGTGAAATTCAAATTATTTTCCTACAGGTTTGTGGCCGTGGTTTGGTAGGCATGCCAGGGAAAGGATACTGCAAAATGCCAATTCCCACCCCACTTCAGGGGAAGGATACTGCAAAATTCCCATTCCCTCTCCACTCCAGGGGAAGGATACTGCAAAATCCCCATTCTATCCCCACTCCAGGAGAAGGATACTGTAAAATCTCCATTCCCTCCCCACTCCAGGGGAAGGATACTGNGGGAGGGAGGGCATGGTATTTGGGAGGGGTTACTCATTGTGCTGGAGGAAGGTTCTGGACAGTGGCAGTGTGACCTCAGAGGTCATGTAAGATACTTTTGTGGCTCCTGGAGGCTATTCTGATCACCTGCTAAAAAGCTGATGGCATCATTTCCCGCTATTTTAAGGTGGAAGACGCATGAAAACAGGCATTATCACAATTAAAGAGCAAAAGCCCTCTCCCGCAAAAAAATATTCCCACCAATGATGGTTTCATCCACATGAATATGATCCTATCCTCTTGAGACCCTCAGCCCCCTCCCCAATATGCGTGCTCCCTGGCCATCAATACAATACCAAGCCTGACTGAATTGTACAACCAAAAATCCCAAAAATTTTTACTACCGGTTCTGTGGGTGTGGCTTGGTGGGCTTGATGTGGTGGGTGTGGCGTGGTGGGCATAGGAGGGGAAGGATATTGTAAAATCCCCATTTCCTCCTGATCAGCTGGGACTCGAGAGGCAGAGAATAGATGGGGCGGGACCAATCAGAGGTGGTATTTACCGGATCGCCAAACTACTCAAAATTTCCACTACCGGTTCTCCAGAACTGGTCAGAACCTGCTAAATACCACCTCTGCCGTAGATGGGCTTCACAAACATTTTGAAAAGTGAGGTTTGCATTTTCTTGGTGCTAAATGCAGGATTTAAACTAAACTCAGTTTCTAAATTTCCACCACGCACCTGCCAGGAATTTCGGGAAGATCCTGTCTAAGAACTGATGCATTTCAGAATGTATCCTGGGATCTTCTTTATTGGATTCTGAAAAAGCAGAAAAAGGAAGACGGGACATGAGGAAGAGCTTCATGCACAGCATATTTATGCGAGGCACAAACAAGGTACAGGTTAGGTCGCCAGAAACGGTGCAACTTTTTCCAAATACTGCAGGAGAGAGAATGAGAACACAAGTAGGAGATTTATAAGCTAGTCCTCACCTTATGGCCATAACTATCAGCCCAACATTTGTATTGCTAAGCAAGACAGTATTTAGGTGAGTTTTGCCCCCATTTTACGATGTTTCTTGCCACAGTTGTTAAAGCGAATAACTGCAGCTGTTAAAGTTAGTTAAGTGAATTTGGCTTCCCCATTGACTTTGCACGTCAGAAGGTCTCAAAAAGTAATCATATGACTCCAGGACACTGCCACCGTCATAAATACGAGCCAGTTGCCAAGCATTCAAATTTTGATCATGTGACCATAGGAATGCCGCAATGGTTGTAAATGTGAAAAACAGTCATATGTCACTTTTTTCAGTTGTGACTTCAAACAGTCCTAAATGGATGGTTGTAAGTCAACAGGTAACAGGAACACTGTTAACGTCCCACCAAAGGTGGTTCCTATTTTTTCTACTTGCATTTTTACATGCTTTCAAACTGCTAGGTTGGCAGAAGCTGGGACAAGTAACGGGAACTCACTCCGTTATGCGGCGCTAGGGATTCGAACTGCCGAACTGCCGACCTTTCTGATTGACAAGCTCAGCATCTTAACCACTAAGCCACCACATCCCTTGGTGAACGACTACCAGGGTGCTATAGTGGCCATTACGTTGGGATTGACTCAGTAGCTTTTTGGGGGGTTATTCTAGCATATTACAGGTAGTTCTCGACAAACAACCATAATGGAACCTAGAACATTGGGGGGGGGGGGG